AGGAGTGCAGGCATTTTAAGGCTCTGGGAAGATGTGCTGGGAATCCCAGGAACAGATTTCCTGAGGGTTTTCCCAAGTGTGTTTCAGGAAACGCCTCTGCCATTTTGCCATTTTCAGTGCTCTCCATGCACGGGAATTCTCTGAAGTGCTCTGCTGAAGAGGAAGTGGGGGTGCTGCCCAGCAGTTCTGTCTGTTGGTCTTCCAGGGGATAGCTGGGACCAGAGCTCAGCATGGGGAGTGTCCTTGTATTGAGACATTCACGGGTAAATAGTGTTGAACCAGGACCTATGCTTTACTATTTACTCTTAAGTTTTATTGCTCCAGGCAGCAGTTATGGTAGCAGCTCCTCTTGCTACGGGATTGACTCCTCCACTGTTTATACTGGTCTAGAGCCAAAAGCTGCTAGTCAGAAACTGGTGTCACTGACTTGAAGTGAACATTTAGTACATGTGGAATAACAGCGGCTTTCACCTCAAAAATCTGCCTTGAGATAGGAGGAGGATGCCAGGAAGAGTGAGAACAGTGGGAGGGCTGAGTGTAACTGGGGTCCCAGCAGGACACAGCGGCTGCCGCGTGTTCAGGCCTTAGCTCAGACCCCCATCTACTGCTGCACTATCGGTGGGATCGCACAGATCTTTCTGTGGTGGGGACTTGGTCCCACACACAGGACTGGTGTGAGGTCAAGTGCTGAATCCCTTCAGGTGACAGACAGCATTAAAGGGCAAATCTCTCTCTGTCAGAAGGGGCAGTGTTGTGGGATTATCCACCTTTGGGGGATGAGACACTGTAGTTAAATCCAAGGAACCCAGTTGTTCCACCATGTGCCACTCCTTTTTATTTGATTCATCCACATGCAGCAGTCTGTGCCTCTGGAAAACTGTCAGCTGAAGTGAGAGGTCTCTCGCTGCCATGTTCCCTGCCCTGGCCTGACTGTTGTGCATGTGCAAACAGACGTGCTGTGCACAGAACGTGCTGTCTGGCTCAGCCCTTTCCTTTCTCAGAGATAGGTAAAGAAAGGAGGGTTAGCTCTAGAACTGGATTAGTAGCACAAATAATCAAGTTACTTTAACTTCCCAGGATCACAAAGCCACTGCATCCTTTGATTTTTGTGGTAGGGATCCAGAAAAACGATAACCAGTGTATGTCAGGCCAGGATTACAAAGCACTTTCTGAGATGAGAGGCTACAGAGCATCTGCTGGTGGCATGCTGGCTGTGGACCAACATTAGCTCTGCTCCAGGTTCACACCTCTGGTAGCTCACTCGGTTTTTACCTGTATTTGGGAGAAGTTGTCATCTGTTGTCTGACTTGCTGACTGCAGCGAGCCTTGCTTTGAGAACAGTGAATTCAGTGTGGAATTTACCCTTAGAAGCAATGAACGATGTCAGGCTGCAGTCTGTTGTCTTTAAACATGCTGCTTTCACCTGGAAGGAACAGCAGTGCTTGTAGTTCATCCAGGTCCATCCTGGGAACACACTCAGTGAAATGTTATTTCCTGATTGGAAAGCGCAAGTTCTGAGTCACCACCACAGATATAACTAACAGGCAGTCTCTTTTCCTTGCAGCTTCTTGTTTCTCTGCTGTTCTTCTCACTCATGGATCTCATCTCAGCAAAAATAGCACCAAAGGTAAATTCAGCCCTGAGGGAATTCTCATGACACTAAATGTGTCTGATCAGCTTGGTTTGCTGCCTAAAAATACTTTGTACCAGTACTGTGAAGGCTGGTAGCTTGTTCTGCCAGAAGGAAGGGATCAGCAACATCCCAGACAGAGCCTGCTGAAAGCCCTTCTGCTCCTATCAGATTAAACCTGTATTTTCTTCTAACTGACATTATCTCCCCTTTCTTTCACTACGGTAGCTTTTATTTATCTTCCTGAGTGACTTACTATTTTCAGTTCCCTGTTCAGACTTTACACCTCCCAGGTAGTACAGGAACCTCACCTCTCTCTCTTAGCTTTTGTGTAGCATTTCACATTTGCTAGATGACTTTTTTCCTTGGGCTGGAAACATACATGGTATTGCACAGGAAAGGGGTCCCCAGCAAGGAGGAACATTAGTTTCCATATGATTTAATGCTATTAAATGAAGGAGTAAAGATGACAAGTTTCTTCCAGCAGCTGTCTGCCCCAAGCATCCTGCCGCCTGTGAATGCTTGTTTCTGTCCCTTTGCTGTCTTCTCAGCTTTGAAGTGCAGCCATTTGTGTAGTCACTTAACAGATCGGATTGGGGAGCAGATTCAAGTTAAAAGTAATAATTTGGTCTCGTAGTCTGTCTTTGGGAGAGTCTGGAGGAAGAGTCATTGAGGAAAGAAACATCTTGAGCAAACAGATCTGGGAGGTTATTCCCAGGAAAATGAGTAATGCAAAAAAACCCACTCCCAAGACATGCTGTCACTAGATGGGTTAGAGGGGAAAAAAACTCCTCTGGGGAGCAGGGTGGGGTCGGTGCAGGATATGCAGTGGCTCTGTGCTCAGTACTGCTGGTGATGAGCCAGTTGCTCATTGATGCCACATCCCCCTCTTTCACAAATCATTCTCAGCTGAGCCCTGTGGTGGCCTGGTTTGGTGATGAAGGCACTGCACTATAGTGCCTGATTGCCCACGGGGAATCTGGACTGCCAGGCGAGGGGAAAGACTTGGGCTAAATTTGTACAGGTTCTTTAATTGAGCACTTCACGTACACAATCTCTTATGAGGGGTTTCTTTCTGCTTTTGATGCAACTAAAGCCTAAAACAAACTAGACCTGTTCTTTCTGACACCCAGGAAGGAGTGGATTTTCAGACATCTCTGGAATGGTCACTGGCGATCTTGCAGTGCCTGGAAGAGAGGGGCATGTCCTGGCCCCTTCTCTTCCATTCAGCAGAGAAAGGTGAGCGAGTCCTGCCTCTACGGGGTGGTAAGGTGAGCTTCAGTGCTCGACAGGCATGCCCCAGCTCTTTGATTAATGAGTGTACCTGTAAGGAACTGATGGGCCTTTGTAAGCAGCCTGAAAAATACTTGCCTGAGTAAAAGCTGACAACATCCTGCTTCTACCCTGCAGTACGGTGACCCAGCTGATGGTCAGGAATGACTGAAACTCACTGTTGTTCCCTCTGGTAGAGAAAGCCTCGGAGGGGGCAGCTTGCTTCTCTCAGTGGTCACTACACCCAAGCATTAGTGTTTATTGTGGGCTGGAAGGAAACTGTGCAGCCCCTGTGCTGCTGTAGAAGTATGCAAGGTGGCATGAGGACCACTAAAGATGTTTAGTATTTCTCTCTGGCTATTGCAGACCCTAGCAAATATTGCATCCTGCGCAGTGCAGCCTCAAATGGTCACATCCGGCTCTTGCCTGTTGCATTCTACAGGTAACATTGTCCTGGGCTCAGAAGGGAGGTGGTGGTGAGGGTGGATGCGGCTGATGGTTTGCACATACAGCAGCTGGCACAGAGTTAACTGTACTGCTGGCCTGTAGGTGAGCTGAGCTCTTACCTTAGCTGTGCAGGAGAGAATACTTGGTCATAGCAGGATTGCTATTAAGGAGCCCTGTATCTTTTGCTAGAAGTTTCCTTTCAGCTTTGTGCTCCAAACAGGAGTGTCCCTGGCTGCCTTCCTGCTCCTGGCAGCGGGATGGCCCTGCACACAACAGGAGTTGTAAAATGGACAGCAGCAAGAGCACCAGCTGCATTTGCCTTGTGTCTTTCTGTGTTTGAGTCTACTACGGAACTAGTGCTAACCAGACATGGTGTGTGACCTCCTCTAGCCTCACCCCTTGCTTTCACCAAGAGCTGCTCACCAGAGAGCAGACCTTCCTCTACGTGGCACTCGATTTGTACATCCAGCTGCTTCGGCTCTTTGTGGAAAGGAAAGACCTGCTGTGGCAAAGCCCAGACACCACAGAGCATGTGAGTGAAGCTCAGTCTCTCTTTTTTCCTCTTTTAACTGTGAATCCTAGTCTTTATCCCTTCCCCTGCCACTGGCAGCATCCCTCTTGTTCCCACCTTCCTGTACAAGGCAGAGGTAGCTTGTGCAGGTGCCTTTGCAGGCAGGCAGCTTGCTCACACTTCAGGGCTGAGAGAAGCTGCCGGTGCTGCTGCCTTGCTGTTGTCTTACTTGTACAGGACCTCAGGGTGGATGTAGTCACTGATCAAGTGATCTGCTTAACCTGTGAATAGCCCCTAGGTGTGGGGTAGTGGCTCCTGTTTCACTTCTGGAGGCAGGGACCAAGACCTGAAAGTGACACTGTGCTTGGCCTTCATCGGCCATGTCTCTTCTCTGTGTTCTCCAGGGGGATCCCTTGGAGGTGATCTCCACAGCCCGGCAGTTCCTGTTTAGTGTGATCCCACGATGCCCTGCCCCAAGCTTTGGAAACATACAACCGGTATGTTGAGATTTTTCCCTCTTCTCCCAGTGTTTCTGCCTGCATAGCCTTTCTTGGGCACTGATCCTGTACTGGTGCTGCCTGTGTTTCCACAATGCATTTGGGAGTGGTGGAGGACACCTGCTGCTCAGTCAGTGCTATAGCCACATCCTCCCTCTCCCGGGCTGCATCTTTCTCAGCAACATGAAACACTGCTTTCACGTGGTCTTGCTCCCACTGCTTGCTTCATGCTTGGTCTTGGGGGGAAATATCAAGCACAGTGAAGTGGCAGGTGTTACAGTTTCCCACAAGCACGGCCTTGTCAGCCAGGAGACTGTTATTTCTGTGCGAGTCAGCAATAGCCTCCCTCTCCTTTACCTGCACTTTGCTGAGAAGCAGCAAAATGCTCTAGCCTTGCTGTAACTCACTGTGAGGAAGCACAAGCAGGTCTAATACTGGCTGCTTGCCCTCTCTCCAGCTACTGGCCACATGTGAAGAACTTGACCCAGAGCTGGGAGCCACTCTCCTGCACTTCTCAAGGCCTGCTGCAGCCATGGAGCTGGATGAAGAGCTGGTCCTGTTCTGAGCAGAACACCCTGACTACAGAGGAAGGCACAGACAAGGTGCTACCTTTCTCACCAGTGCTGTTTCTTTCAAATTACTTTGTAAATAATTTATTACAAGCATAACCATGAAGCTCTTGTTACAATAAAAAGTAGGTTACAAATTTCAGTTTAGACTTGCTTTGGGAATCTTTTTCTTTTTTTTTTTTTTTCCAAAACAAAATGTCTGCTTAAAGTTGCTCCACTGGCCTATGTACCCTTAGAGCCACCTGAGGGCATTTCTGTATGGGCAGCAGCCAACTTTGCTTCTACAACTGTGTGCGTGGGGAAAAGGGGGACCACGAAGGGGTGCTGCCAAACATCCATTCCCCTAGGATTAGACAGACTTAGTACAACACTGCTGAATCAGACGTGAGCATGGAGAATCACAGCATGATAACAAGCTTTTTCTGAGCAAGCTGAAGCTAATTCCACTGAGTTCTTTGGGAGACTAAAATGTAGATTAAAAATCTCCACTCTGCCATATGGTTTCTATAGGGCTGGACTGGGAAAGCTTCCCTGTCCCCCTCAGGTGGGCTCCTGTTGTGCAGTCACTTCTGGCTTTACTGCCTGGCTTTCTGAAGTCCCTGAAGTATTTAGGAGGAGAATGGGCTCTGGCTCCAGTGGCTTGGCTTTGTCCTGAGTCTGGGTCAGAGGGTGCACCATGGACATGTGGACATTAAGGTTATGGGCCTTTTCAAAGCGCTTCCCACACTGGTCGCAGGCAAACTCCAGCTCTGTCTCAGCTTTGTGTTTGGTCATGTGGTACTTGAGCGATGCTCGCTGTCTGCACTGGAAACCACAGATTTCACACCTGCAAGGCAAAGCAGAGGCTCAGCACCAAGCCTGAAACCACAGCCGTGGCATTCGCTCTTTGTCACGCTGAGTAAGCCCATGAGAAGATGACTGCAGCCTCAGAGCACCTCCTACAACTACCTTAGTCATGCAACACGATTCTCCTCCTCAGGCCTGCAGCTCATTGCTGGTAGCTGAGCATTCACCTGCTGAGCTCTGAAGGGCAACAGGAGTAGAAGGAGGCATAAGACTTGCTCAGCAATGGGAAGCTCTGGAGCTGGAGCACGCGTGGATGAACATTTAAAGTGATTCAGCCAGGACACCGCCAGCTACAGGCAGGGTTTGTATCACAAAATTACTCTGTGCTGAGGGCAGTCACTGTGAGAGCTCTGCAGAACTTCACTACCCCTTCTAACCCTTTTCTTAGCTATGAATGGATGGTTGGTGTGCACTTACTGGAGGGGCTTTGCTCCCGAGTGCCGCATCTGATGGACCGAGAGGTGTTTGCGTTGCTTGAAGGTCTGCCCACATTCATCACAGATATAATTACGTACCTCTGCAATGGAAAAAGGGAGAAAGTAATTGATTCTGCTGATTTCTTAGTACATGAAATGCATACACGCAGCTGCCCACACTTACTGGTGGAGTCTGAATTCCTCCCCCTGCCTCGCAGCCCCCACGTGATGGCCTGTTACAGGTTTACAGGCAAGGCAGACCGTTCTTACACCCTGCACAGTCTTGTGCAACAAATCGTTGGATGTCACACCCGTCATCTGCTGGGAGCAAAGCCTGCCAGGACACACCTGTATGAATGAGTTTCACGTGACGCTGCAGGTACCGGTCAATCATGAACACCTTGTTGCAGCCAGGATGAGGACAGGGCCTCTCCCGAACCTCCTCATGATGCTCTTTGATGTGTTTCTGTAAAGAAAGGACAGAGCTTCTAACTGCTGGGCTGCATTTTCCCCAGTGAAAAACTTGGATCCCCCAAAGAAATGAGACCCCCGTCTTGGCAGGCTCATGCATGAGCACTGCTTCACTCTGAAAAACCAGACTTGCATCCAAATCTACCCCTGACAGCAGGGCTTTAACAGGACACAGCAGAGCTTGTTCCAAGGGCTGCTGCTGAGCCAGCGGCAGACTTCCAGAACAGGAGGAGCATGCAGAGCCAGAGCAGCTTCTGGTGCTTTTAGGAGCACAGAAAAGGCCTCAGACTGCTTCGTTTAGTGGCTTGCCACCTCCTGCGGAGCTAGGCAGTGAATTACATCTGTCACAGATCCCTCTCCTCATACGGAAACTGTTCTGTAACACTCAAAGCTAGAGGTTTGAGACAGGAGCAAACCCCGAACTCACCTTCATGCCATCCGCGCCTCTGTAGACAGCCGTGCATCCCTGGTAAGGACACTTGTAAATGGTAGGCAGCTCCTCCCTGCAAAGCAGAGGTCTGCCGTCAGCCAGCGTGCCAAGCGTGGGGTGCTGCCCAGCCGCCGCCTGCTCCTTATTACCTTTCACATTTGATTTTTTTTTTCCAGCCTGGCTTTGGCCCTGGCTTCTTCCTTATTTTAGGCTCTTCTGCCTTCTTTGCTTCTTTGCTGTCGCTTTTCTTGCTAGAAGCCCTTCAAGAAGGAACAAGGAAGAAGGACAGTGGTTTAATATGTGATCTTGGTTTTAGTCCTCCCACCTAATTGTCCCCAAATGTTACACCTGGTCTGACGGCTTAGCCTGATGCTTGACCTGGCAAAGCAGGAGCATGCATGCCATCAAATACACGTGAGCCGAGCTGCAGTAATTAGTGCCAGGCCTGGGGATGAGGGATGTGGCCTGGCTTCAACCGGATGGGGAGCTTGGGGAACAACGGGTGCTGGGGCAGCACTGTGACCTCCAGGTGGGGACGTGGAGGGAACCAAGGCCATAAAGGAAAGCGATCACGTTGGCCCAGCCGAGTCCACCGCAGCACAAATGCAGCGGAGGTGGGCACCAGCCCTTCCGCTCATCCACAGTGAGCTCTGCTAACCACACAGTAAGCCCCTTACTTCTTTTCAGGGTAAGGCTCGAAGGAGTCATCTGAAGATTGCACGTTTCTCTTCTCATTTTCATCGTCGCTCAAGAAGTCCCTGAGAGAGAGAAGATGCCCTTTACCGATGCAGCACCGGGCTGGCACTTCAGCACTAGCGTCTGCAGCAGCAGCACTACGTATTCTTCATTCCCCATGAATCCATCTCCCCCACAGCATGGCAACGGCAGCCGAGGCTCCACGTGTTCTCCTCCCCTGTAATCTCCCCAAGCAAATACAGCACCGGTGAACACAGCAAATAGCAAAATCGGGTCCTTTTAGGACTAGATCTCTGTGAGAATAATTGAACCACTGTCAGGAGAACAAAAAACGGCTGTTACTGAAAAGATCTATTCATTGTTGAGGGATGTTGCTACTGCTTTCTATATGGGGAGAAGTAATTTTGTAAAGCAAGAATGTAATATAATTGTCCAGCACAGGTTAATTAAGCTGCAGGTCATTCTGTATTTTCTCATATGTAGCAGCCACATAGGTTTGGGTTTTTCTTTTTCCTCCTTTTAAGTCCTAAGCCATACAAGAAGCAATTAATTCTGAAGCCAGGAAACAGGCAATAAATTGTTGCAGCACTTTTAACATGACAGCTGACAGCTTTAGCTGACACACTGAAGTAAGTCTGCACTCGGCCATTTGGTGCTTTAGACTCCAAATGACTGGATTTAGCCAAATCTTTGATCATAAAGACTGCTAAGCTGCCAGTGTCCCTCCCACTCCCCATTTAATCGCTCTCCCCATGAGCAAACGGGGCGATTTCTCCAAGTGCCACCCCTCACCTGCGTTCCTGCACTGACCGCTCTTCTAGAGCCCCAGCCCAGAGCAGCCACGAAGGGGAATTGCTCTGAGGCTGAGGGGCTGGAGCAGTGGCACCCGGGACCAAGCAAGCCCCCCACATCCCCTGCACAGTTCCTTCCCCAGAGCAGAGGAGGGGGGGAACCAAAACAGGACCAGGTTTGCTGGAAGCAGCCAACAAACACAGAGAGCGCACGCGTGTGCAAACGCACACATGCCGCTGTGCAAACCGCCCCCTTGCAGCAGAGGCGGCGAGGAGGGGAGTTCAGCGCGTCAGCGGCATAAGCTTCATCACAAGCACTGCAGAGCCACTGCTCTGCACCTCGGACGCCGGTTCCAAGGGGCCTCGAGGGCCAGGTCACTCGTGGAGAAAGAGCTCTCCGAGGCGGGTCATTTCATACTCGCAAAGAAGACATTTAGGCTATTTTAAACCCACTCTTCTCTCACCCCTCAGAAAGGTCACTGAACTCGTCTTTTACCCGCTCATCCGATGTTGCAGACAGAACCTGCTTCCCACTCAACTGTCCTAGGGAATGAAGGAGAACACGGTGCGTTACAAGGAAAAGCAGCAAAAACAAGCCAGCGAAGACAGCTGCTGAGAAGAAACCAACCACTCCAGGTTCACTCAGTGTGGCTCATACCATGTGAAAATACGTGCTCCATGACAAGTTAATGATTATTTAAACCAAACTCTGTGTCTTGTGTGCTTGGAGACCGCTCTACCTGCACCCCAGGGACAGGAGAACCTTTACCCTGCAGCTCCCACGAGCATCTTTTGGTTTCTCCCATGACACCTGCTCTGTAATCAAAAGACTTGTCCCCAGGCAAGTCCCAGCTGCCATTCCTCTTTACAGCAGCAGACAGCTCCTGTGGCTGAGCTAAACCCAGCCCAACTTCTGTAACTCAAAAGGGGTGTTAATTCCTTTCTTCTGGAAGTGGTGTTTGGGGGAGTTCAATAGTAAACCCACGTTACATTAACTTGGCCCACGAGCAAGCCCACCTGGCAACTTTACTTTGCAGACAGAAGGGGCTCTTGCTGTTCAGCATCACCTGCACCAGAGGAGGGGAAACCTCTCCTTGCCGGAATACGGACAGGGTTTGGATTTGGATTAAGCAGAAAGAAACATCTGGCAAATGTGGTGCTGGAGAACCAGGGACTGTTCTGCACCGCTCAGCAGGCACATATCCCCTGGCAAGAGCAAGGCAGCAGGATCTCACCAGCCAGGTGCAGCCTGCTAATGAATGACCAAGTCTCAGCCCTTCTATCAGAGGGGGAAATAGCACACAGGGTGAGGAGACTGGCTCTTTGTGTGACGTAGCCAGCTGGAGCTCGGTGTTCCCCCTTCCCTTCTGCAAGGCTCAGAGGCAATTCTCTGAGCAACCAGCACTCCCCAGCCAGAGTCTGCGTCCTCCCTGAGGAGCAGCAGTCTCCGAGGAGGGGGCCCAGCCCCACTGTTGCTCCCTGGGCCAGCTCTCCGGCTCTTTGCCCTTCCCCAGAGACCGGGAGGGAGATCAGAAGGCAAATCCCTTACCTGTGGCACTGCTCAGTGGTGACACGGGCTGCGGCAGGGCTTTCTCCTGTAAGGACGCCGTGCTGTCCAGTTGCGAGTGAGATGAATCCCTGTTCTGCGGCGGCTCATTCTCCACGTTCAGTGGCACTGATGTGGTCCCTTTGTTTGTGGGCTGCTGGCAAGGAGTTGTCCTTACTGGAGCATGCTGGGGTTTGGGAGCAGAAACAGCCTCAGCATTGTCTGCCCCTGCCCCGTTGTCAGTCAAGCGCTGCGCCGTGCCCTTGTTCCACTCCCGTTTGACAGACAAGGCGTTGTCGACAAGCACCGTGCTACAGTCCGAATCTGTATCCATGACGTAGTCGTGCCCGTCCCCGCAGCCCCAGACGGCACGGATGATGCCGCAGTATTCGGAGGAGAGCACGCTCTGCAGGCTGGGCACCAATGGGCAGCTCCCGGCGTGTGTGTGCGTCCACGTCACCAGGCTGTGCAGGCATTGGGGGCTGGAGGTGATCAGGTCAACTGTCAGAGGGGAGAGGCAGCATGTGCACAGTCAGTCCCCTGGGCCAGCCAAGGGCACAGCCAGCCATGGGGAGGGACAGCGAGGGACCCGCTCCCCCCTCCAGGGAGGGGACAGGGCTGCAGACCCGCTCCTGCACTGCACTTCTGCGTCAGAAGGCGGGTGGGAGACAGCCTAAAGGCGCTGCACCCAGATGGACCGGGGTGAGGGCTCTCCCATTGACTGCCAATATCATTAATTTTATAGCTGAAAGTGTATTTCTCATTGCCCCCCAGCATCTGATGGCAGCTGGCCCAGACCCACTCTGCTCTTTGCACCCCCTGCATGAGCCTGAGCCTCTTCAGCTCAGCTCGGGGAGGCTGCTGCCCAGTGAGGATCCTGCCGAGAAGCCAGAGGGGAGAGCCTGTGGCAGAGGGAGGAGGGTTAGGAACCCTAACAAGCCAGACCAGGGCACGGTCCCCATGCTGAGGGACGCAGGAACCGCCCTGCCGGGTGGTCGTTCCTCAACACCCGTAAAACCCAGCCCTTTGTTGATGGTATCACAGAAAAAAAAAGGAAAGCAGCTCCAGGAGCAGGCACTCACCCAGACAGGAGGCACCTCCTTCTGTGCCCGGCTGGGCCTGGCCCGCACCATTCCTGCAAAAGCCAGAAAAGCACAGTGGGGTCTTGAGGGTTACAGAGGGACCATGCGCCAACACACAGCAATTTACTACTCCTGATAACTCCCGGGAAGAAAGAATGACAACGTACTTTCCTTTCGACTTTACGTGGCCTGTGGGAGACGCGTTCACCCTCTGGATAAACGTCCTGAGGACACTGCGGCATTTGTAGAACTGGGCATGGCATTTCTTGCAGACGAACTGGGGGAGCGCGGGGTCCTGCCGCACCGCCACGCCGACCAGCCGCTGGAAGTCGGTGAAGAAGACCTGATCCACGCGGCGCTGCTTCTCTGAGTTCTCCCCCATCACAGGCACCTTCCCGAAAGCATTGCGCAGGCTCCTGGAGGAGAACTTCCCATGGCAGAGACGACAATACCCAGTGCTCAAAGCTCTGCCAATTCCTGCTGGAGAAGGATTGAACACAGCCGCTGGGTGCCTGCCGCAAGAGTACAGTGGCCAGCTATGGCCCGAAGGCACTGGCGTGCTGGAAGATGTTCCCCTTCCCTTGATCCAGGCTGCCTCTGAAGCCCTGGCTTCAGCACCAGCACAGAAAAGCCAGACAGGAAGAGAGAGACCTTCCCTTTGACCCCCCGCTGCAGATCAGGACTGCTCTGCAACTGGCTTGACCCTAAAATCAGCCTTTCTCGCCCAATTGCCCCAGCGGAGGAACCTCCTCCCAGCTGTGGCGTTCCCGGGGCTCGCTCACACGCATTTGTGCTTTTGCCAACACTGTTCCTTGGCTTAAGTAGTTCTTCTCCCTCCCCAGTGTTTATCTCTAAAGTATTTATAGCCAGCAGTCATGTCCCTCAGCCGCTGCGAGCCTGAGCCGCCCCAGCTCTTGCAGCCCCTTTGAGATGCGCCATTTCTCAGCCACCCTGACGGTGCCCTGCGGCGGAGCTGGAGATGCGAAGCTCTTGAGGTGGGGAGTAAGGCCAACCCGGAGCAGCGGGGCAGGATGTAAAGCGTCTTTCCCGCTCCCAGTTCACTGACTGCCCGGCTCTCCTGCCCGGCAGCCCCGTGAGCCTGCCCGGCCACCTCCCTCCCCATCCTGTAGCATCTCTGCTCTGCGGAGCACTGCTCCATCCCTCCACTGCACCCTGACTGCCTGCCGGTGTGAGGAAAACTCCCCAACGTGGCCTCTTCCCAGCCCTGGTGCAACATGGCTGTGCTCTAAACCCTCCGGTCCCCCCACCTGGGGGGGACAGGGAGGGAGCAGGGTCCTGCCTGCGGCCCTCTGCCAGCCATCACCAAAACCACATGAACGGCCTTCAGAGCAATTCGGGGTCGCATTGCACACCGGAGACCGCCGGCGGGGACAACCTACAGAGCCCAGGAAGGGCAGCACGCATTGGGGGAAGCATTTTGGAGGTGCCGTCCCAGAGGCACGTGCAAGCGCTTCCTCCATTTGTCGTTGACACCCAACGTTGAACCGTTTGGCGGTCAAACTTATCTCCTGCCTCCAGCCATGCTGACAGCAAAATGTTCGGCCGTCGGCCGCCTCCAAACCAGGGCCGGATGACGGCAGAGCACCGGAGGACGGAGGGGAGGGTCAGCTCGCCTCATCGTGCTGCCGAAACCTCTCCTTACCTCGCTACGTACCGGGCACTGGGAGCCTCGGCTCTTCAGCACTGAAGACGTGCCACGCAAACAGGCAAATCCCTGCCCTGGCCACCGGGCAGATCCAGCCACCCGATTGTCTGCCGATAGCACGGAGCCCCGGGAAGGCCGGTCTGCTCCCCGGTAGAGGGGAGAAGCCCCTCCGTGCCGGGCCTCACGCCCGCCGCTCCCCCCCCC